AAACAGACCCTACACAAAACTGTAATTCTTCCTGTATTCAGCTATACTTATTCCTCGATTTTCGTTACCCCGGAAGTGATCTACCCGAAGGAGGACCTGGTTGCCCTGCTTGAGGGTACTCCTAAGGAACATGCTCAGGCGATTTTTACGAGAGTTTTTCAAGATGAAATTGGACAGTCGATTGTCTTTTATACTGATGGCTCCAAAATTGAAGAAATATCGACAGTAGGGGCGGCGTGCTACTCCCCTCAGTTAAACCTCGAACTAATGGACAGGCTTCCGCAACATGCCTCTGTTTTTTCCGCAGAGGCATGGGCCATATACAATGTTATATTATCCTTAAAAGATTTCTCAGTAAATGACGCGGTTATCGTTACAGACTCGCTGAGCACTTTGCAAGCTCTGCAGAGTACAGGTTCTTATAAAAATAATTACCTTATCCCCCTTATTAAAGCCACACTGGAGGTAGCGCAGAAGGGCGGGATCCGCGTCCGTTTTATCTGGGTGCCCTCCCACAAGGGCATCGTGGGCAACGAGCGGGTAGACGAACTGGCTAAGAAAGCTACTAAGGAGGGTAGGACGACTAATTTCAAAACTCCTCTCTCCGACCTTTTCTCGATCCCTCGGTCCAAGCTGATTGCTAACTTTGACGCGTACATCGAATACTGGGCCAGTCTCAAGGGAGTTCAATACTTCCGAAAAATTTATTCTAAAATGAAGAGACCTTGGTTTCATCGCTCCACTTTGGATCGGCACTCTATTGTTACGATGTCTCGGGTACGCGCTAATCACTATAATTTAAATTCTAGTCTTCATAGGAAAAACATTATAGAAAATCCCTCGTGCACTTGTGGTAATACAAATCAAGATATAAATCATATTATATTTGAATGCCCTGAGACTCTTGAACACGCATTACCGCTCAAAAGACATATCGCAAAAACGAATATTTTCGCGTTTTACAGGCGAGATATTTTTGACATACTTAAGAATCCCACAGGAATGCTATGCAAACTCTTGTCGGCATTTTGCAAAGCATGCAAAATTCTTATATAATCTATGGTATTAGCATGAACTCGCTTAAACTGCGCAGGCGCGTGCTCCAATCCTACCCCGCGTTCCCCCCCCCTCCCCAGCTTGACTCCACGCGTCCGTTTCATACTCACACTTGTATCTTGCTCGTTTAGTACAATCAGGTGTGCTGCCAAATGCTCACTTGGTTCCCTATCTTGTCAGTCTCTCGTTTGAGTCTAAGTACCTCAGCCAACAAGATTTTGGCCGGATTGCCCCCGACCGGGAGCAGGTGCCAATAAAGAAAAGAAGAAGAAAGAAGAACCACGTCCACGTTCTCAAGCTATGATTTGATCGACAATGTTTAAGATCGACGTGGTACGTAATTCCCTTTTTGAAAACGTGGACGTAGGGCGCTACTGTACGGGGGAGATCGCCAGTCCCACCCAAAAAGCCGGCGTGGCCGCTCTTAGGTTTCTCTCTGCTGGGGTTAAACTGTAAAATTTTTTGTGATAGGGAAACAGTAATTGAAGAATAAATAATTGGTAAGACTGTGCAGAGGTTTCAGAACCAAAAACTCCAAAAAGTTTCACGCAAATTGACGCAAATATCAATACACAATATTCAATTGTTGCAATTGTTTTTTTACATGTTTCGAAGTGACGGTCCTTAATAATCCTTAATAATCCTTAATAACAGAAATATGACAGACGCAAGAAGTTTAAAGGAAGCTATCGAGCAATATGAAACACAGGTATTAATGTTCCTGTTTACTTACAACTACTGTCTCAGATTATGACGTCAAAAAACGAAGGGATACATAATTCTTGCAAAATATAATAAATGGAAATATGTTTCAATAAGACAACATGTACAATCGATAGAACTAATTTATAAAATAAACCGAAAACTCTTTTTGTTTCATTAATTAATAATCATATATCTGGAAATGAATTATATATAACCTAGTAACGAAATAACTTATGTTCACAGCTATGACAACTGTGAAATTAATGTCTCATAAACATCATTTAATTCTTCCCCGAAATAAAAAAATTTTTGGTATATCTTTTACAGATCTAGGGTACGGTCAAGATGATGCTACAAATTTGAAGCATTTGATTGACCAAGAACAAGAATTTTACAAATTGACCCATCAGAAAATGCTTCGAAGCATTTGTAGCATCATCTTGATCATACCCCTATTCAATTGCAAATATTTTATTGAAAATTATTTCTATTTAAATTTTTATTTTGTAAAAAAATTTTATTGTATATTGTTCTTACTTTTGACATATATCACTATCTGAGATAGTAATGATAAATAAATAAGGACTTTAATATTAGAAATTAATATATTAACAATCTGAAAAATATATTTGTATGAATTTAATTTATCACAATTATTTTTACTTAATCTCCTTTTATTTTTGGAGCTGTTACAAGTGGACACAACACTGTCTACAATGCCAAAAGGTTCCGACAGAGATAATTTGCTCAGCTTGAAATCTGATATTGAGGAACTTATTTCTTTGACGAAAGAAAGCTTGCAAAGTCTTGAAGGAGATGTTGAAAACACAAATGAAGACAATAATCCTGATGACAAAACAGAAAATGAATTAGACAGAGAATATGCCTTGTTTAAGGTTTGTTTTAAAAACAATTGATAAAAACAATTATGAACAAAAGACTAGCTTGTTTTATTGTCTTTATCTTTCTTGTTAATGTAAATTTAGTATCATTGAAAATAAATTGTTTAAAATAAAGTATTCTGTGAAATATATTTTATCATATGCAGATTTTGTTACAGCATATTTTTATAATTTTCAAGCATTATAAATATATTTATATATTTGGTATGTAAAGTTGTAATATAAAAACAACTTTGATGCTTTGTTAAACACATTCCTTAAATCCATTAGGCAGAGCTGGAGAGATCTTCAGATGAAAGTGAAGATAAACAGGACTCCTGCACAAGGACTGCTGCTCCTCCTGGTAGCATTGAAGTCAGTATATAACTATTCTCTATGCCATAGCAGTGACACAATTATACGGTGCAAGTTGACCTTTTAGGATGAATTAAAGGAGCTAGAGGGTATGAAATGTAAAGCTCCTTATGGCAGTACTTGGGGCAGTATTAGTTATCACAATGCTATGATATCTTCTGTTTATAGAGACAATGATAAAACTATTAAAGATATCCACGACATTAAGGCAAGTTAACAATATTAATTATGTAAAAATGTCATTTTAACTTGTCATTTATTTTTCTCTGTTTTTGACTTCTAAATTTGATTATTAATTCCAGGTTCGAGTTTTCTTTCTCAATCCAACGCACAAAGAAATGATCCCATGTCCATTTTTTCTCAATGGTAGTTGCAAGTTTTCCGATGAAAATTGTCATTATTGTCATGGTGAAATTGTATTGTTTTCAAGCCTACAGGAATACAAGTATTCTTAAAAGATTAATTAAAAGATTTATATAGAGTTTATTTAAGAGTACTTTAAAGTATAATTTTTTATTTATAGAGAGCCTGATTTTCATAATATCAAAATAGGAAACAAAGTGTTAACTAAACAAAAAAATAATATATGGTATAGATCCGTTGTTTTAAAATTACCTGAGAAGGATGGAGATGAATATAGAGTAAAGTTTGAATCAAGCGGCAAAATTGTAGAAGTTGGATTACAAGATCTCTTACTTCTTGGTAAAATATATGGTTGTGTGTGTGTGTGTGTGTGCGTGCGTGCGTGCGTGCGTGCGTGCGTGCGTGCGCACTTTATAGTTTTTAAAAATATTGATTATGTTTACAGATGACACACATTTAGAAATGTCAGATACATCTGATGATAGCGATGACAGTACTGATAATGCTAATAATGTGCTTGATAATGATTCCGAGTCCAATTCGTATATAAATGATCAGTTGATTCACAAATCTCTTTTGACATTACAATCCAATGAACCTTTAGGAAATTGGGAGAGACACACACGTGGCATTGGTAGCAAATTAATGATGCAAATGGGTTATGTAATTGGCACTGGTCTTGGAAAACGGAGTGATGGTAGAATAGAACCTATTGAAGCTCAAATTTTGCCGGCAGGAAAATCATTAGGTTTGTTTTAGTTTCTTTGATCGTGCAATATTATTGTATAACATTACTGTACATTATTAATATACGGTATTAATTTTTCAGATCACTGCATGGAATTACGTGAATTTGCTGGCGATGATAAAGATTTGTTTTCTGCAGAACGTAAAATGCGCAAGCAACAACAGAAATTAGAACAACAAAGAGAAAGACAGTACCAAAAAGAAAAACAAAAAGAGGACAACAATGTGTTTAATTTTATAAATAAAGCATTAGGTGATAAACGTAAGTTAAAGAAAGAATAACGTTTATTAAATCTGATTATTTTATGCATATTATATTTAAATATTAATTATTCTTATGTAGCTAAAGAAAATACAGCTAGCAGTTCGCAAAGTAAAGATAAACTTAGGACAGAATCCAATAGGAATCTAAATGTAGCCAGTTTTCAAATTGGAGAAAACATAAATCGTTTAGAAAGAGAATCAACAAAACTCAAAGAATCATTAACAAAATTTGCCAAAGGTAGTGTGCTTTATAATAACATTGCAACGAAATATAATGAAAAACAAAAGGAACTTACTAATTTAAGAGCTTCCGAAAAAAGTATCATCGCCGAACAAAAACAAAGGAAGAATAAAGCTAAATTATCTGTATTTTAATATGTATTTATACGATAGCATGGGAAAGGAGATGTATGTTAAGTATGTCTGTATATAAAGCGTAAATGTATCTAAATATATTGTTTTATTAATTACTTTTCATGTAAGTGGATTATTTTATAATTATCCAGATATCTCCAATATCGATGAATTTGTGTTCATTTGATGTTTTTTGCATGAAATGAAAGAATCTGATAGAAAAAAAAGGTGTCGCTCGGTCTCGGAAAGCAAGATATTAATTATTAGGGCTATTATACATAAAATCACATAGCTGCATATGCTTGGTGATAAGATTTTATAGTTTACACAATGTAGTTGTTTAACTGCAGAATATATATTTAATAACGCACTACATAAATCAGAAGAGTACATACAATTGTCAAACGCACAGCTTGAGTTATCCAAATCTGAGAATCCTATAAACAGTACCATGAAAACATAAAGAACAATGCAATGTTTGCAACATACTTTCTTCATACACATGATGCAAGTAGCAAAAAATCGGATTTAACAAGACATTCTACGCTTTCATTTCCAAGAACGCCTTTTTTCAATTCAGAGTTCTGCCATTCGGTTTGGCATTGGCGCCTTACATCTTTACAAAAATTTTTTAACCAGTTTTGTATTCCCTCAGAGAGAAGGGTTTTTCTCTTAGTTGCATATCTAGACGATTTTCTTCTTATAGGATCTTCCTATAAGCATTGTTTAGAGAATGTCTCTACGACACGAAGCCTTTTAGCTTCGTTAGGATTTGTAGTTAACAAGCGTAAAAGTGTTTTCACTCCAGCAAAATCTTTTCGGTTTTTAGGCTTTATTTTTGATACAGAATTTTTCTCCATTTCCATTCCTCAAGAGATAGACTCCTACGAAAAACTCTTGACTTATTAAGTAGAATGTCTTGCTAAATCCGATTTTTTACTTGCATTATGCTTCATACATAGACTGCGTTCCGTTTGGCGCTTACAGCTGGTTACAGCGCTCACAAAATCATTTCATCCTTGTTGTTTATCAAATATTAAACAAAGACAAATGATGCTTATAAGCGCTGTAAGCGCCAAACGCAGCCATAGTATCATAACGATTATCTTATCCTAACACTTAGCATAAGCAGCAAGTAGCGATCTAGTTCTAGCATAGATCTTATATAGGTCATAGGATGCGCCTTTCGAAAGGGCCCTGCACCCTGCTTGCCTAGTCACCGCGGCCATATTGGACTCGTGACGTCAGAAGCGAGAAACAGCGTGAAATGCACATAAAAGTTTCTTGCGTGCCATTTTTAAATAAAGTGGATTTAGATAAAATTAATAAATAGGATTTAGAAAACTTGTAAAAATGGGTGTAAAGTGTAAACTATCCTTTTCATCCCTGAAAGTCAGTAAATAGTCGTAAAAGGCACGTAAAGTGAAGCTTATTCAGGCACGAAAACGCACGATTTGACAGCTGTTGAAAGGAATGGAAAAGA